AAAATGAGAATGCACATGCTCTTGGTGAGTGTCGTTGTCCACAGCATTGTGTATGAAGAAGATTTTGTGGAAAGAGTTAACTCTGAAAACGAATGGAAGAAGAGTTAGATGTGATGAAGAGAGGTGCATGTTCATTTATACATTAATTTCAAAGAAGAGAGGTGAAGAGGGAATCAGTTCAATGATATTTATGAGAAAAGATTACTGTGTTGCATGCATGAGATATAGTCATGGAAGAAAACATGCATGTTCATTTTATTTATACATTAATTTCAGAGAGAAGAGGCGAAGAGGGATTCAGTTCAATGATATTTATGAGGAAAGATTAAGGTGGCAAAGATTTTTTCATTTTAAACGATAAATTATTCAGTTGAGCATGCCTGATTATATATTGTACTCACAATCCTCACATTTATCAGGAAAATGTATCCACGTCTCATTTTTTTTTCAATAATGAAAAATAATAATAAAGGGATATTAATAATATTATGTTTTAAAAGAGTTTTATTTGAATTTTTTTTACTTAATTAATTATTAGTTTTTCATGTCGTTGTTAATATATAAAAACATTGTCACTTAAATTTATTAATACTTTTTAATAATGTTTTTTGGTTATCCGCTATTACCCTAAATAATCTAATTAAACAAGATTGTGTTTAAGAATGAAAACTAACAGAATGAGAATAAATTTCATTATTTTATATTCATTTTTAAGGTAAAAATTCATCATCATCCCTACAAGTATAGAGTTTTGTATCAAAATTGATATATAAGCGAATTATAATTTTATTTCAAGTCTAGGGACTGCAAAATATTTAACTCAAAATAATCCTACCTAATGACAATGTTTTGTTATATTGCTTTGCAAGGTAACCTTCTAGCTGCATACTAAATACTAAACTTATCAACATGCCATTTGATATGGAGAAAATATTTTCAAATAATCTTCCTGATGTTAGAATTCTTTAAACGGGATAAATTCTAGTTAGTTTGTTCAAAATACTTTATAAGTTTTCTATAAATAAAAAGATAATGTGACATATCGAATTTTAAAGTGATAGCGGGTGGAAACAAAAGTAGACATGAAACGTAGAATTCATGAAATAATGACAACCAACTAGTTTAAGGTGACAAGTAATACAATATTAACATGACATTACATTTTGAAATCGTTAAATTTTCGTCCACTGATTTTGTAACCAAGTTATAATTCTACAGTTCTGCACTTAACCAGGTCTAATACAGAATTAAACATAACATTGTAATTAATTATTACTACAACTAGTTCAGAATGTAAATTAAAAAGGAAAGGATGCCTTAAATTGGTTATATGCATCTTTGTCTGCTTCAAGTTGCTGTCGAAGGGCTTTTTCTTTTGCCTCAATGCCTGCAAGATCAAAAACCAGGTCTTTAGTATGGTGAGCCCATAAGATGCTATCATTCTTCAATGTCTCCCTTTGTTTCTCGCCTTCATTTATAGCCAACTGAAAGGTCTCTCTCTCTTCCTTCAGTTTAGATAATTGTTCTTCAAGTTGTTCAATAGAAGAAGATATTTCATTGACCCTGATGTTGGCAATTGAAATGGACGTTGTGATTTGCTCTTGTGCATGTTTAGTTTCTTGCAGTTTGTGAAGTATATCTTCTTTAGCTCGGTTCAACTTGACTTTCTTTATTCCAACTGTACAAGATTCTTTGTGGTGAGCAACAGCACTGTTGAAGAAGAGTCTGAATGTCCTCATGAATGTTTGCTGGGCAAGAGAAAGTAAATTCTCATTCTTCTGCAACTCTTCAAGAATAAGTAGGACTTTTGATAATTGTTCATAGTCTGTAACAAAATCACCTAAGCTGAACGTCTGCATCAAGTCTTTTAGCTCTTTTGACAGAATATCTGTAGGGGAGCTTTGAGCTTCTGATGGTTCTGACAGAGTAGCAGATTGTGGAGTTTTGGAAAAAATGGAAACCTTCCCCGTCAGGATATTTTCAATGGCACTCAAAGGGTCATCTTCGATCATTTTGTCTATGGCTTCTACATCGAGTGGGGTGTTTCCAGAAGAGACTTCATCAGCCTTTGGGTCCACTTGATCTGGAGAATCTTCAGCCTTGCTGGAAGCAACCTGCTCTTGTGCATTGGCTGGGGCAGGGTTAACCTTCTCCACCTCTTCGACAAGTCTTTCACTGAATATTGGCTCAGCAGTATTTGTATTTTCAACGTGAGGAGTATCAACATTGACTGGAGCAGCTGCAGGAGGATCATGATGAGGGGGTAAACCAGTAGTAGAGCTAGTAATTGCAGCAGTTGGAACCTTTCTGGGAGCAGTTTTCTTTGTAGTCTTGCTCGTTTGACCATAATACCGCTTCCGAGGTAGTCTTTTTCTTTTGTAGATTACTAAGGGGTCGATATCCGAAGAGGCTTCTTTGTCATCTACTGGGGAACTCTCTTTGCCATCTACTTGGAAACTCTCTTTGCCATTGACTAGGGAAGTCTCTGCAGTACGCCTCTGTTATGATAGAATTAAATGTTATAGTGATTAAGAAGTAGAGGTACTTTGACAAGTAGTGATGTAAGTAATTTTACCTTCAGTAATGCAATTAGTTTGTCCTTCAATAATTCCTCAGATGACGATGCTTCAGGCACATGGTCGGCACTTCTATCTGCCACATGCTTTATTCTTTTGGATCTCCGGGGTGTTGATGGGGGATTGGGAGTCTGGTTGATTATGAACTTGGTAGGCTGGGAGCAAGAAGAATTTCATCAGAAGCCAATGCAGTGAATTTTATGGAATATTTCAAAGATTTTGGATGGCAATTACCTTCGTTTTTCGTGGTCTTCCACGTCTTGAAGATGTAAATGATTCATGGATGGAATGTGAAATCTTGGATTTCACCTTTACACAGCCGTTGTTGGATTCCCCGTATTCTTGATCTTTAGGAGGGTCCATCATTTCGGTTACTTTTGAAACTACAAAGAAAATGACTTCGGTTAAATATATGATAAAAATGTTGAAATAAAATGCATGAATTATATTGGATGTGCCAAAGGGAGAAAGTTTCAGCCTTTGGATATTTAATGAAAAATGCCATAAAAATTATTTAGGTAAATTGGAAAAGTTTTTCAATTCTTCTTTCGTTTTTGTAAGCACCAAAAAGCTCCACTTGGTGGGTGTGGAGACATACCAGCCTCGTTGAAGGGAGTATTAGGTAGTATTAGTTTTCAGACTTCAGAAAAGGTTTTCAGACTTCATGTCTTCAAGTCATGGCTTTGACACCAAGGTCACGACGATAAAAGTACTGCTTCTGATTAAAACAGTGAAGTACCTAGGCAAATGCAAGATTATGCCTTAAATAGAGCATTCCACAGATGGGGATCCAAAGATGGAAAGAATTTTAAGATAACAAATGAACATTGCCAATGAGACCCCAAAAAAGAGACTCCAGTCTAGGAAATTCCCTATCATTTATGTGACAAAAGAATTGGAACCTCAGAGAGAAAAATAAAGAATCACACCAGTAATTTTAAATGCTAGATATTATATATCTTTGCACAAAAGATGTATGCATGAAAAAATATCACTATCAGTAGTGTGGGATGCAACTGCAACTCTCTATGATTTAGTGCACAAGAGAAAACACATAAAGCATCATTTTCTAAACCAATTCGTACCAGATCTTGTCCTTATTTTACCACTGTCATCACAAAAATCTCTTGGAAGCGTCGACAGTGACTGATGTTGAGGCACATTTTGTGAACATTCTGGCAGTTGGTGTTCTGTATCTTGAGGTTGTTCTCTATTAGCCTTGGGAGAGTTGGTACCAGTAAGTGGCTTTGCATTGTTATGGTCAGCCGATGCAGTAGTATTAGTATTCCGTTTTTTCATTTCCTGCCCATAATAATCATGCCAAAATATAAGCTCATTTTCGATGGGGGCGAGAGAGGTTGGGAAACAACAAAGGGGAAAAAAACGATATAAGAAAGTACTCTTCAACAAATCATATGATAGGAGCATCTAAACGTAAGTCAGAAGTTTTGAGAATAGCACAGAGAGAACTAACCAAATACCATTCATTACCTCGTGATGCTCAGGAGAAGCCAGGTGTGAACGTATAGGCTCCAACATAACCACACCACATACCTGGCAAACAGGCTGCCGAAGTTCATTATACCTGTAATTACATAAACACAGGAAAGTCAAAATCATCTTAGGTATAAGTTAAAATCAACTAGTACACATGACATTTACAGAATCACTTTGCAATGAACTTCTCCAAAATATAAAATGCACAACATGAAAAAGCTAAATATATTCTCCCTTCTTATTTCCCTCTTCTATAAGCAGTTTATCTAAACAGGCTATAGCATACAAAATGAAACACATCTTGAGAAATAATACTTTCAAGTTGTATACTCAAACATAGCTGCCAACACATTTTACCAGAAAATCAACCAAATCCAAAAACGGACATAACTCAATGCATAAGCAGAAGGTTTTTAGAGACTAGTGCGTCATTCACAAGTAAAGAACAAAACACTTAGAAAAAAAATCATGACGGCTGTGTTTGCAATTAAATCAACATAAGGTAACAAATAATCACTTCCATAAGCAAAGGTGTAAGAAGAAAAAAAAAAGGAAAATTGAAGTTAGAGATAGATGCGTGAAGAAGTGCAAACCTCACTAGGGGGAATACAGTGTACTTCTCTTTCTTCTTAAAACTAAAGCTAACACGAGACAATGCCTTCTTCTTGTCCGGAGCATCCATGTTCCTGCTCGTAAGCAGAAGAAGAATGTGGCGTAAGGGGAAAAGATTGAAAACGCAACAAACGGAACCCTCAACACACCCAAGAAATTGTTGAACCCTTGTTTTATATATTATTGTTGTTCAAAATTTTCAATTTACCTCGAGAAAAGAGACAAGGGTCCGAATTGAAACAGGGTAATTTAACCCGACCCGGTTAATTGGACCCGAAATAAAACCTCTAGAATTAGTTGTGTTTAGGGGGTTTTAGCAAGGAGAGAGAAAATGGACAGAGGGAAATATTTGGCATTGGTGGGAGGAGGAGCTCTCTTGGGCTCTGTATCTACCTTCTTTCTTCTTAGGCTTCTTCAATCTCAAAAGTATGCAACTTCTTCTTTACCCTTTTAATCTCCTCTTGTTAACTATCTGAGCTGAACTACTTTTTTTTTTTTTTTCTTACATATGTATGTATGTGTGTGTGTATATATATATATATATGTGTGTGTGTGTGTGTGTGTATATGTATGTGTGTATACTGACTGGTCCTTTGGTTGTTGGAACCCACAAAGGAAGGGCTGGTGCAAAAACAACGTTATTGCTTACAATTTGAAACTTTGCGATAATTGAGTGTCGTAAAAGGTGATGGGTTGGTTGGATCAAGTTGTTTAACTTTAGAGTCATTAATCAAAGGGATACTTTTTTTTTTACTGTACTTTGGATGCTACTGAATGCTTGCTGTGATGTTTGCAGAAGAGGTGTATCGCAGTGCAGTAAGAATGTTCCGGCTGATCTCAATGGTAAGTGGCCTGAAAGAATGGATTTTAACAGTGCAGTGAATGGCTGTTGACCAATTTGTCTCCACTTCTTTTGTTATGATGACTCTATTTATTCCTGCTTCTGAACGTCTCCCTTTCGGTATTTGCCTAATTAAAATCTTTGATTATAAAAATTGCACATTCACTCGCATACTCATCACTCATCAATAGTGGAGAGTTGAAGTTGCAATTAGTGACACACATGTCAATGGTTAGTTTCTTGTCCTATGTTTGTTTCAGCGGAAATAGAGAGGAATGAAACGGAGATACGAGGAGATCGAATTTAAATACCAAGTTTTATAGTTTGTTTAGTAGGTAATGGGTTTTGCATTTTTTTTTTCTTTACTTTATAATTAGCAAAAGGAAAAAAAAAAATTGCATTCGTAAGACAGTTCCTTAAATCTTAGTTATTGTAGAACTGGTATTCCTTGTAAATGTATTAGTTTGAGGTCATCGTTCAATGTTTTTCTGGCCAAAAGTACCTTGATATTGTATTTTAGGTTTTCTAGATAGAGCATTTAGAGTTGAGTGTCTTTGCTCAGGGTGAGAGGTGCTTTTTATAGACTTTGGCTAGTTTGTTCTGTTACCCATGTATCCTAAATGTTATTATCTATCCCTTAAAGTATTAACTAACCAATTTCAAGTACTACAAGTAGTTATTCCCGTGTTTTTTCTCTAAGATTTCAGATAGTTTTATTGAATTCCTATGTTAATTATTAATAGACTATAATTGACTTGTTAGATCATTTATATTCTCTTTTATAGGAAGTCAGGCTAACTACCGATACAAATGCATACTGTATAAACCTGTTAGAAACAAGTTTCAATGTGACTAATGCTCCTATCTACTTAATCCTACTTTCACATCGGGAAATTAATAAGACTGCTTCTCTAAGTGTCCTTATAAGTGTTGGACTTTGTGTCTCATGCAGGTGTTGAGGGATGCTCTATTTCTGGAAAGAAAAATGATAGGGTGGTTAACGAAGATCTTCTGAAAGATGAGATTGTTTCAGAACAGCTAACTAGGTATTGCAAGTGGTTGCCAATAAATTTAATGTAGCATTTTCTCTGAGCTTATTTCTGACTGTAACTGTGTTCTACATTGTTGAGTTAATTGGTAAAAAATTATCTAAGAAGCACCTGCAATATTGTTTCAATTAGACTGTGAGATCTTTTGGCGGTCTAAGAAGATTTAGAGCTCATGCGTCAATTACCAAAATAGTTGGACTATGCTTGGTGCTAGTTTTTACAGTTACTGTTTGATGTTTAATAAAGGTTCGAAATGGCATGAAATATTTTTTCCTTGCATAGAAATTTTGCACTTTACATGTTGTCCCACAACTCCCAATATCATGGATAACCTATGAAATATTATTACATTGATTCTATTTTGAAAGACAACTTTTTGCCATCAAGGCAGAATTTTCATTGCTTGATGTGAATTACTGAGATAAGAAGAAACCAAAAAAAAAGAGGTTAGTTTGACTGGTGGAATATTTCTTCTCTTTTATTTTTGGGACTACCAACACATCTCCTGCAATGCTTAAATGCCCATTTTACAATTGTTGTCATTATATATATATATATATATATTTGTGTGTGTGTATGCATATATCTATTCTACTCAACATTATGTACATCAAACGTATATGGATGGTACTTTCTTGATATGTCTATCTTTTCTTGGACTTCTGTTAATCAAATTGTTTTTTGGATTTTTTTATGCCGTAACTAGGAACATTCAGTTTTTTGGCTTTGAATCTCAGCAAAAAGTGACTGGATCATATGTAGTGGTCATTGGTCTTGGAGGTGTCGGTAGTCATGCTGCTACTATGCTCTTGAGATCAGGGATTGGCAAGCTTCTTCTTGTTGACTTTGACCAGGTTTTTTCTCAGATTGATTCACTCCTTAATGTTTAATGTGTCATCTACAAAACTTCGTTGCCACCAAACTGTTACCTATCCGTGTTGGAGACGTAACTAGCCACGATCGTAGGTAGAAAGATAACCCTCAACTCTCACAGTAAATCGAAAGAACAGTAACTGAATAAATCTCTTTTATTGATAGAAATATTTGAATCAAAGAAAGCAAACAATAACTGGGAGCATAACCTCTTTCAGTCACTAAGGAGTTTAACCTCCTTTACAAAACTCAATAACCAAAAGCATGTCGTAAACCATAGCGTCAGGGCTTTATTTATAATTATTATTTTCCTAGGATATACTTCTAATTACTGTAATTAACTTATACTGAATATTTCCTTAGGATACTACTCTAATTACCGTAACTAATAGTATTTCCCTGGAATACTGCTCTAATTACCGTAATTAACAATATTTCCCTAGGATACTACTCTAATTACCGTAATTAACAATATTTTCCTAGGATATGGCTCTATTTACTATAATTACTTTCCGCCTATCCTAACTGTTGTCCCAGTTAGGATAGTCACTCTTCAACCAGTCGGCTGCTCCCCATCGCTCCGCTACTGCCTTTGGCCATTTGGCTCGACTCCTCCTTGTCTTCCATCGTTCGGCCTGAACTTCCCCTGCCTTTCACCGTTCGGTTTGGTCTTCCTTCCTCCACCGTTCGGTCTTCTCCTTCTCTCCTAAACCATTTTCTCTCATACACCTTCCAACCCCTAACATTACCCACCGCCTGATGATCAACCTTGTCCTCAAGGTTGAAATCTGGATATTGCTCTTTGATAGTTATTGCATCCTCCCAGGTTGCTCCGTCCGGTCCCCCTTCTTGCCATTCTATTAACACTTGTTGCACCTCGTCCTCCCCTTGTTGAATCTGTCTCTTATCCAAAATTCGAATAGGCCAAAAAGACGGCCCTTCCCCTTGCAAGTCTATTGGCAATTCCTTCTCCACCTTTTGTTCCCCTACCGCCTTCTTCAACTGGGATACATGGAATACTGGATGTATCCATGCAGTGTCCGGTAATTGGAGCTTAAAAGCCACCTCTCCGACCTTCTGTGTGACTTGGAAAGGCCTAAAATACCGAGCGGCTAGCTTAGGGTGTAGTCTGGTCGGCATAGAAGTTTGCCTGTGCGGTCTGATCTTCAAGTACACCCAATCTCCCACCTCTACATCTACTGGTCTCTTTTTTTTTATTGGCCTGTTTGAGCACGTGATAAATGAAACTTTAGCTGCTTCAGTGCTTCATCCCTTGTCTGCAGCTCCTGGCCAACAACTTCCACTAAGGTTTCCCCTGGTACGAAACGGTGCAGAGAAGGAGGAGATCTCCCATATACTGTTTCAAACGAAGTGCACCCTGCTGCTTCTTGGTAGCTAGTATTGTACCAATACTCGGCCCATAGTAGCATTGAACTCCACCCCTTTGGTTGTTCTGAGCAAAAACATCTCAGATAACCCTCCAACACCCTATTCAGCACCTCAGTCTACCTGTCCGATTCAGGATGATAGGCAGTGCTCATTTGTAATTGGGTACCCTGCATTTTAAACAGCTCCTTCCAGAAAATGTTTAAAAACAATGGATCTCTGTAGCTAACAATAGACATTGGTACCCCATGCAACCTGACAACCTCCTTAACAAATACCTCAGCTATTGTACGGGCGGAATAGGGATGTTTCAGTGGGATGAAGTGCCCATATTTGCTGAGGCGGTCCACCACTACCAGTATGGCATCATACCCTTGAGATTTGGGCAACTTTATTATAAAATCCATGCTTACTTCCTCCCAAATAGCGTTGGGTATGGGCAAGGGTTGTAGCAACCCCTGTGGAGAAGATGACAGGAACTTATGTTGTTGGCACACCAGGCAGCTTGCAACGAAATCAGTTACTACTTTCTTCATCCTTATCCAGTAAAGTGATGGTATACCCCTGAATGCCCCCCTGTCTGAGTAATGTGGAACTCACCTATTAGCTTAGGAACCCAGGCGGACTGAGTCGAGATCACCAGTCTCCCCTTGTAGTGCAGTCTGCCATGCTCCATGGTAAAAGATGGGTGTGAGTTGGGGTCCTTCTCGAGATCTTCCATTACCTNATGGAAACCTTCCCCGTCAGGATATTTTCAATGGCACTCAAAGGGTCATCTTCGATCATTTTGTCTATGGCTTCTACATCGAGTGGGGTGTTTCCAGAAGAGACTTCATCAGCCTTTGGGTCCACTTGATCTGGAGAATCTTCAGCCTTGCTGGAAGCAACCTGCTCTTGTGCATTGGCTGGGGCAGGGTTAACCTTCTCCACCTCTTCGACAAGTCTTTCACTGAATATTGGCTCAGCAGTATTTGTATTTTCAACGTGAGGAGTATCAACATTGACTGGAGCAGCTGCAGGAGGATCATGATGAGGGGGTAAACCAGTAGTAGAGCTAGTAATTGCAGCAGTTGGAACCTTTCTGGGAGCAGTTTTCTTTGTAGTCTTGCTCGTTTGACCATAATACCGCTTCCGAGGTAGTCTTTTTCTTTTGTAGATTACTAAGGGGTCGATATCCGAAGAGGCTTCTTTGTCATCTACTGGGGAACTCTCTTTGCCATCTACTTGGAAACTCTCTTTGCCATTGACTAGGGAAGTCTCTGCAGTACGCCTCTGTTATGATAGAATTAAATGTTATAGTGATTAAGAAGTAGAGGTACTTTGACAAGTAGTGATGTAAGTAATTTTACCTTCAGTAATGCAATTAGTTTGTCCTTCAATAATTCCTCAGATGACGATGCTTCAGGCACATGGTCGGCACTTCTATCTGCCACATGCTTTATTCTTTTGGATCTCCGGGGTGTTGATGGGGGATTGGGAGTCTGGTTGATTATGAACTTGGTAGGCTGGGAGCAAGAAGAATTTCATCAGAAGCCAATGCAGTGAATTTTATGGAATATTTCAAAGATTTTGGATGGCAATTACCTTCGTTTTTCGTGGTCTTCCACGTCTTGAAGATGTAAATGATTCATGGATGGAATGTGAAATCTTGGATTTCACCTTTACACAGCCGTTGTTGGATTCCCCGTATTCTTGATCTTTAGGAGGGTCCATCATTTCGGTTACTTTTGAAACTACAAAGAAAATGACTTCGGTTAAATATATGATAAAAATGTTGAAATAAAATGCATGAATTATATTGGATGTGCCAAAGGGAGAAAGTTTCAGCCTTTGGATATTTAATGAAAAATGCCATAAAAATTATTTAGGTAAATTGGAAAAGTTTTTCAATTCTTCTTTCGTTTTTGTAAGCACCAAAAAGCTCCACTTGGTGGGTGTGGAGACATACCAGCCTCGTTGAAGGGAGTATTAGGTAGTATTAGTTTTCAGACTTCAGAAAAGGTTTTCAGACTTCATGTCTTCAAGTCATGGCTTTGACACCAAGGTCACGACGATAAAAGTACTGCTTCTGATTAAAACAGTGAAGTACCTAGGCAAATGCAAGATTATGCCTTAAATAGAGCATTCCACAGATGGGGATCCAAAGATGGAAAGAATTTTAAGATAACAAATGAACATTGCCAATGAGACCCCAAAAAAGAGACTCCAGTCTAGGAAATTCCCTATCATTTATGTGACAAAAGAATTGGAACCTCAGAGAGAAAAATAAAGAATCACACCAGTAATTTTAAATGCTAGATATTATATATCTTTGCACAAAAGATGTATGCATGAAAAAATATCACTATCAGTAGTGTGGGATGCAACTGCAACTCTCTATGATTTAGTGCACAAGAGAAAACACATAAAGCATCATTTTCTAAACCAATTCGTACCAGATCTTGTCCTTATTTTACCACTGTCATCACAAAAATCTCTTGGAAGCGTCGACAGTGACTGATGTTGAGGCACATTTTGTGAACATTCTGGCAGTTGGTGTTCTGTATCTTGAGGTTGTTCTCTATTAGCCTTGGGAGAGTTGGTACCAGTAAGTGGCTTTGCATTGTTATGGTCAGCCGATGCAGTAGTATTAGTATTCCGTTTTTTCATTTCCTGCCCATAATAATCATGCCAAAATATAAGCTCATTTTCGATGGGGGCGAGAGAGGTTGGGAAACAACAAAGGGGAAAAAAACGATATAAGAAAGTACTCTTCAACAAATCATATGATAGGAGCATCTAAACGTAAGTCAGAAGTTTTGAGAATAGCACAGAGAGAACTAACCAAATACCATTCATTACCTCGTGATGCTCAGGAGAAGCCAGGTGTGAACGTATAGGCTCCAACATAACCACACCACATACCTGGCAAACAGGCTGCCGAAGTTCATTATACCTGTAATTACATAAACACAGGAAAGTCAAAATCATCTTAGGTATAAGTTAAAATCAACTAGTACACATGACATTTACAGAATCACTTTGCAATGAACTTCTCCAAAATATAAAATGCACAACATGAAAAAGCTAAATATATTCTCCCTTCTTATTTCCCTCTTCTATAAGCAGTTTATCTAAACAGGCTATAGCATACAAAATGAAACACATCTTGAGAAATAATACTTTCAAGTTGTATACTCAAACATAGCTGCCAACACATTTTACCAGAAAATCAACCAAATCCAAAAACGGACATAACTCAATGCATAAGCAGAAGGTTTTTAGAGACTAGTGCGTCATTCACAAGTAAAGAACAAAACACTTAGAAAAAAAATCATGACGGCTGTGTTTGCAATTAAATCAACATAAGGTAACAAATAATCACTTCCATAAGCAAAGGTGTAAGAAGAAAAAAAAAAGGAAAATTGAAGTTAGAGATAGATGCGTGAAGAAGTGCAAACCTCACTAGGGGGAATACAGGGTACTTCTCTTTCTTCTTAAAACTAAAGCTAACACGAGACAATGCCTTCTTCTTGTCCGGAGCATCCATGTTCCTGCTCGTAAGCAGAAGAAGAATGTGGCGTAAGGGGAAAAGATTGAAAACGCAACAAACGGAACCCTCAACACACCCAAGAAATTGTTGAACCCTTGTTTTATATATTATTGTTGTTCAAAAT